GGTAAGAGTATCAGTACATTAATTATTAGTAAATAAGTTTCTATTTTGTGTAGAAGATAATGAGAAGCAATTAAAGGAGAGAGAGCCAGTCAAAGATATTGGTATTCAGTTTGATTATATTGTTCCTTCAATGGGTAAGAGATACATGTACATAGTAATTTTAATACCATTGTTATAAGCTTTGGAATTTGGTATAGTAGATATAATTGACTTCACTAACCCACAAATATTTCATTGTATAAACAAAACTGATTATGTGTACTCACTCCTTCATGTATATCAGGGTTTCCCACAAAGCAGCTAAACAGCATGAGCTTCATGAGCTACAAGCACTATAATACAGTACATGGCATTTGGAGCAACTTTAAAAATTCATAAAAAATTCAAATTTGATCAGAATCGGCTCAAACTTGATACACAATATAAGAACATGTATATGCATCAGAAAAAATTATTAAAATGGAGAATTCTCACATAGCCATTTTTGACAAAATTTGGCCAAAGAGCAAAGGCTATGGGTCGTTGGCCAGATTTTTGAGCAACTTTAAAAATTCATAAAAAATCTAAATTCAACTGGAATTGGCTCAAACTTGATGAACAGCATAAGAACATGTAAATTTATCAGAAAATATTATAAAAACAAAGAATTCTCCCCTAGTCATTTTTGACGAAATGTGGTCGATTACCCTGTACTATTACTACTATAGTACAGGGTCTTTTGCCCATTTTTTGCTTAATTTGACAGTCCACTGACAAGAAGCTGTATGAGTAATATGCCAAATTTTTTTGGAAAACCCTGCATGTATTTATATTATTTTTACTAATAATTATATGTATTATCCTGATACACACACATACAGATAATTTAGAGTGTCTGAGTGACGTTAACATAGCCAGTAAGAAACTGTTCCTGATACAAGGAGACAGACCTCAACTGCTAAACTGGGAGAGGTATGGGCTAAGAATTGGAGTATCTGGAGGAAGCCTATCATCGACAGAGACAGCTGAGGTAGCTGTGGTCGCTCTTGTAGGAGGACAGTTTGTGTTTCCTAAGAAGACGGTACTCGTTAGTGGTGTGTATGCAGTCTCCGTTTCCAGACCTCTCCTCAAAGCACTGAGGCTTGAGATCCAACACTGCGTTGATATTACAGGAAAACCAGCTCTTGTCAGTCGTTTACGATTTGCCATAGCTCCTATCAGCACACCAAATCTTCCTTACCATTTCTCAATAGTCAATGGAGGGGAATTTGATCATGATGATTGGTATGGATCAATCAATCGGTACAAGTTCTGTCTAGCGAGTATTGTTGGATGCACTAATGGTGAAGGAGGAGGAGAAGGTGATGAATGGGAAGGTGAAGGTATTACTGAAGAAGAGGAGGAGGAGGGAGGAAGAGGAGGAGGAGTTGGAGTGGAAGGTACAACTGCTTCAGGATCATCAGTTAACATCATTAATACTAATGCAGGTATTGTATAATTATTAATATTAATATTTTAGTTGATAGTAGATCCTATTGTATCAAGCGATGCAACTACAACAGAAGAGGATGAAGTAGCTACTCATCATATTGATGGTATAATATCCTTACACTGTATGCTAGTCACTTTTAATATAAATGCACTATATTAATAATGCATGTAGCTGAAGTACAAACAGATAATAATAGAGAAGTTAGCTCCAATGGGATAGTAGAGGCTATGACTTATGCTGGTGTTACTTATTATGAAAGAGATGGGATTGAAGATTTACTGATATTTTCTGCTGCCAAGAAATTAAATGCTCTTTTACAAGTAAGCACATCATGACTGACTGTGCAAGATGTGAGCTGTTTTTGTTGATACTGCAGTATATTGAACAGAAGCGTTTAGGAGCTAAACAAGGGCAGAGTATGTACTTTTCATTTGATCCCACTAAATCTGGCATTATATTAAAATTTGATACACCACAAGCAAAACCTTTCACTGGATGGACTATTGAACCTCACATTAATCCTTGCATTGTAAGTGTTATAGTATGATTCATAACTATTTTATGTACATGTATATTGATGTACTATAGTTGCGTCGCTGTGACATTGATAATTTTGGGAATGAAGATTATCCCATTCCTCCATCTTGTTATGTATCAGTTTATGCATTACCTGGTGCCGTTCCAATCTTACATTACTCTATACCACTGGAAGGTGTGGTAGAACCAGTGTCATTCTTTATACATAGAGCACTGAGAACACACACTCCAGGTAATATTATTATTATTGTTACTGTATGGGTACTAGTTTTTAATAATATGTATGTTAATTTTGAGTGGCATACATGTAATTATGAACATGCATATAATATACATGTGCTTCAAGTAAGGTACATGGGTAAGAAATCAAAATCTGTGAAACTAGATGCCTTATTAAATTTTGGTATTATTGTTATTAATTTTACAGTTATTGAAACTGCTGAAGAACCAAGTGCTCCTGCACTGAAACAAAGAAAGAGAAAAAGTCATTTAAGTAATTTATCCTAAATAATTTATTATGGTATAATTCTTATAGGTACTGACATCAAGTCTATCACTGGTAGCTTAATAGCAGTTATAAGAAATAATCAAGTTGTACTAAGTGAAATATTTGAAGATTCTCTTACTCACATTGCCTTAGGATTGAGTGCAGCTAATATCATCACTCACTCAGTTAAGAATAATCCTTCTTATGACTCCATTATTAAGAATTTCATCACTGGACTAAAAATGAAATCCAGCATTGCTGAACTTGAAGTTCACTGTATGGATTTTCTTGAAGCTCTTTCACCCATTGGAGGTCCAGTGACTGGAGCTGCTGACATGTTGAGGAGGAAATGGACAGAAGAGACTAACCTCCAGCTTGACAGTAAAAGAATCAAGTTATCTTAGGCTCTGCACCCATTGCTTTCTTATATTATTATTATTAATTACTAATGTTTAACTTTATTATTATCACACATCCATGCACCTTATTAATATACAGATACATAATTACATGTACATGATGTATTTTATACCCTCTTTGTTTGAATTAATATTATAAAATGACAAGTAGCAGCACTGGAGTACATATTGCATTATTGGAGTACATATTGGAGTGCAGTATTGGAGTCAGGCTGCCTTCAGAGCTTAACAAATGGTATATCAGCATTCTTTCACCACTTGAACTTTCATCTTGTTGTCCTTGTAGCTGTATATATATAAGGAATTTATCATGC